TATTTTAGAGACAATATATTGCTCTGTCACCCAGGCTGGAGTGCAGTGGCATGATCATAACTCGCTACAGCTTTGAACTCCTGAGCTCAAGAGGTCCTCCTTCCTGGGCCTTCCAATTAGCTAGGACTACAGGCACACGCCACCATTCCCAGCTAATTTTTGTATTTTTGTGGAGACAGGGTTTCGCATGTTGCCCAGGCTGATCTTGAACTCCTGGGTTTAAGCAATCCACTTCACAAAGTGCTGGGATTACAGATGTGAGCCACCACACCCAGCCCAGATTTTTTTTTTTTTTTTTTTTTTTTTTGAGAGAAGTCGCACTCTGTCACCCAGACTGAAGCGCAGTGGCATAATCTCTTCTTATTGCAACCTCCCACCTCCCAGGTTCGAGTGATTCTCCTGTCTCAGTCTCCCAAGTAGCTGGGATTATAGGTGCATGCTACCACATCTGGCAAAGTTTTGTATTTTGGTAGAGACAGGGTTTCACCTTATCAACCAGGCTGGTCTCAAACTTCTAACTCAAGTGATTCACCTGCTGTGGCCTCTCAAAGTGTTGGGATTATAGGTGTGAGTCCCCATACCTGGCCTAGCCGAGATTTTAAAAAGAAACTAGACATTTTTATTTTTCTTAAAACCTTTTAATTGTTATTGCATATTTATTTATTTTTATAAACCAAGAAACCATTTTTTTTTTTTTTTTTTTTTTTGGTAGAGAACAAGGTCTCTCTATGTTGCGCAGGCTGGTCTCAAACTCCTGGCCTCAAGTGATTCTCCCAATTTGGCCTCCCGAGTTGCTGGGGTTATAGGCATGAGCCGCTGTGCCTGGCCGCTACTTTTTATATGTTGATGATTTGTTTAAAACTTTTATTTTTATTTATTTGTTTTTCTTAAGGCGGTCTCTTGCTCTGCCACCCAGGATGCAGTGCAATGGTGTCATCATAGCTGACTGCAGCCTCAAATTCCTGGGCTCAAGGATCCTCCCATCTTAGCCTCCACAGTAGCTAGGACTGCAGGTGCACCACTACTCCAGGCTAATTTTTTAAAAGACAGGATCTAGCTATGTTGCCAGGTTAGAGTGTGGTGGCTATTCACAAGCACAATCATAGTACGGGGCAAGGCAGCCTTGAAGTCTTGGCTTCGAGCAATCCTTCTGGGCTGAGCCTCTCAAGTAGCGGGTCCTATAGGTGATACACCACTGTCCCTGGCTACTTACTTCACATTTTTAAGACATTGTAGAGGTCATGATTGTGCTGTCAGTTGACAGTTTGGGGTACTAACATATACCTGGAGAAAATGCTGCTGGTGAGAGAGGAAATACAGTCAAACGCTGGGCTGATTCTGGGCCCTTTGAGTATATCTGTGCATAAAAACAATTGCACTGTGGGTCAGGCTACTGCTGGATCTGGAACATTGCTGTGATGGCCTTTCCAGCACATTATCAACAGCACCACAACAATTTGGTCACAGGTTTACCTCTTACCTTAGACACTGAGGTCCTTGAGGAAACTCACAGTCTCTCCCCAGGGCCCAGCACATACTAACAACCAGTAGTGGTTTGAGAGATGGATAAGTGAACAAATAAAACCATGAGAGTCTTTATGTCATATCTGAGCCCTAAAGTCATTCCTCACATCATTGAATTCAGGTGTCTCCAGGTCTACCGATATGACTATTATTTTCCTTGTTGCTTAGGAGAAATGTTTTATATTCTTATTAATTAAAATTTGAATAATTAGTGCCATTTATTTTCTGAACTTCTTTCCATTTTTGTCTTTTAAGAGGTCATGAATCAATTAATTCATCAAGAATCATGTGATTTGTGGTCATCTCAGAAAATAAAAACATACACAAACCACCGTGCTTCCAAAAAAAGAAGAAAATAAAAATATGAATTGTTGATAATTAGATGATGTCGAACAGCAGTGTTTGAACACTGAAGACTGTCAGCCATTTGAGATTGGGAACTGTGTAGCTGGGCATGGTGGCGCGTGCCTGTAATCCCAGCTACTCAGGAGGCTGAGGCAGGAGAATTGCTTGAATCCAGGAGGCGGAGGTTGCGGTGAGCCGAGATCGTGCCATTGCACTCCAGCCTGGGTAACAAGAGCGAAACTCCGTCTCAAAAAAAAAAAAAAAAAAGAAAAAGAAAAGAAAAGAAAAGAAAAGAGAACTGTGCCTTAGACTTAAAAAAATCGATATGTGCCGGGCGCGGTGGCTCAAGCCTGTAATCCCAGCACTTTGGGAGGCCGAGGCGGGTGGATCACAAGGTCGAGAGATCGAGACCATCCTGGTCAACATGGTGAAACCCCGTCTCTACTAAAAATACAAAAAACTAGCTGGGCATGGTGGTGCGTACCTGTAATCCCAGCTACTCAGGAGGCTGAGGCAGGAGAATTGCCTGAGCCCAGGAGGCGGAGGTTGCGGTGAGCCGAGATCGCGCCATTGCACTCCAGCCTGGGTCACAAGAGCGAAACTCCGTCTCAAAAAAAAAAAAAAAAAAAAAAAAAAAAAAAAAAAAAAAATCAATATGTAATTTGCATACCATAAAAGTCGTGCTTTAGAAGGGTACTACTTGGTGGCTTTTAGTGCATTCATAAAGGTGTGCAATCAACTACTGTCTCATTTGAGAACCTTTCTTCAATCCCTCAAAATCCTCATACTCATCAGCAGTCACTCCCCATTTCTTCCTCCCCCAGCCCCTGGCAATCACTAATGTATCTTCTGTCTCCATGGATTTGCCTATTCTGGACATTTCACATGAATGTAAATGGAGTCGTACACTGTTGGTCTTTTGCAACTGGCTTCTTTGACTTAGCATAATTTGTTTTGTTTTGCTTTGAGACAAGAGTCTTACTTTGTTGCTCAGGCGATCTTGGCTCACTGGGACCGCGCCTGCCGGGATCAAGAGATTCTCATATTCTAGCCTCCCAAGTAGCTGGGATTACAGGTATGCACCACCATGCCTGGCTAATTTTTGTGTTTTCAGTAGAGACGGGGTTTCACCATGTTGGCCGTGCTGGTCTGGAACTCCTGATCTCAAGTGATCTACCTGCTTTGGCCTCCCAAAATGCTGGGATTATAGGTTTGAGCCACCATGCCCACCTGTGGCATAGTTTTTAAGGCTCATCTACAGTGTAGTATGTATCATACCAAATTCATTTTCATGACTCCATAATATTCCATTGTATAAATATACAGGTTGAGTAGCCTTTATTCAAAATGCTTGGGACCAGAAATGTTTCAAATTTGGGATTTAAAAAAAATCTGGGCTGGGTGTGGTGGCTCACGCCTGTAATCCCAGCACTTTAGGAGGCCAAGGTGGGTGGATCACCTGAGGTTGGGAGTTCAAGACCAGCCTGACCAACATGGAGAAACCCTGTCTCTACTAAAAATACAAAATTAGCCAGGTGTGGTGGCACATGCCTGTAATCCCAGCTACTTGGAAGGCTGAGGCAAGAGAATCGCTTGAACTCAGGAGGCAGAGGTTGCAGTGAGCCGAGATCATGCCATTGCACCCCAGCTTGGGCAACAAGAGTGAAACTCTGTCTCAAAAAAAAAAAAAAAATTGGGAATATTTGTATTATACTTACCGGTTGAGCATCCCAATTCCAAAAATCTGAAATTCTAAATGTTCCAAACAACATTTCCTTTGAGCATCATGTCAGTGTTCAAAAAGTTTCAGATTTTATATTTCGGATTTTCAGATTTGGAACACTCAACCTGCACTACATTTTATTTATCCACTCATCTGATGATAGACATTTGGACTGTTTCCACTTACTGGCTATTATAAATAATGAGCTACGAATATTCATGTTCAAGCTTTTGTGTGGACATAATGTTTTCATGAACTAAGAGTAGAAGTGCTGATCAATTCTATGCATAAGATTGTATAGTAATTTTATGTTTGACTTTTGAGACAATGCTATACTTTTTCCAGGATGTAAGTGGCTGCACCATTTTACATTCTCAGCAGCAATATATGAGGTTCTGATTTTTCCTTGTCTGTACTTATCATTGTCTAGATGTCTGATTATAGCCATCTTGGTGCATGTGAAATGGTATCCCATTGTAATTTTGATTTGCATTTTTCAATGATTGTGTTGAATATTGTTTCATGTGCTTGTTGGCCATTTTCATCATTTATTTATTTAATTTATTTTTTGAGACAGAGTCTTGTTCTGTTGCTCAGGCTGGAGTACAGTGGCTCAATCACAACCCACTGCAGCCTTGAATTCCTGAGCTCAAGCCATCATCCCACCTCAGCCTCCCAAGTAGCTGGAAATACTGGCACCAGGCATGATGCCCAGCTAATTTTTTTTCTTTTAGTAAAGATCAGGTCTCACTACGTTGCCCAGGCTGGTCTCAAACTCATGGCCTCAAAGATTCCTCCGTCCTCAGCCTCCTGAAATACTGGAATTACAAGTGTGAGCCACTATGCTCCGTCCTTTTGTATATTTTCTTTGTAGAAATGTCTGTTCAAATCTTTGTAAACTGAATTATCTTTTTTTGTTTTTCCCTTGCCTTTGTCAGGCTAGCATTGTTTTTCTATCGTTAAGCTGTCATTGTTCTTTATATATTTTGGATACTAGGCCACTGTCTGGTAGACAATATACAAATATTTTCTCCCATTCTGTGAATTGTCTCTTCTCGATGATTATAAATTACAGGATTTGATTTTCCAAGCTCAAGCTAGTTTATATTTGTCAAGTTTACTCATGCTATAATGTGTGGTTTGGCTTATTATATTTTCTGTGGGATTTTTACTTAGGTACTAATGTATTTCTCTCTCTTATTTTAAGGGCATCCAATTGTCATATCACATAACAAGAGATCCAGACATGGATGGGCTTAGATACCCTTTCTCTGAAGTTCTCTGGGCTCCTCTACCTTCCAGGAACACACTTTTTTTTAATTTTTATTTTTTTTCTGCTTCAGACTGTTTGTTGTCAAATAGAAGGACCAACACTCAGGTCTACCCACAAACCACCCGGACACTCAGCATGGCAGGCAAGAAGATCCCAGGGCTGAGCCAGTACAGCTGTCATGAGGCATTGATGATCAAGGTAACATCACCCAGTAGAGAGGCAGTAAAGGGTGGTGTCACCGCTGTCAGCCTTGCTGAGGTCACCAGCATCCTCTGCTTCTGTGAAGGAGCTGGCAGGCAGGCATGTCTCACCTCTGCAGGCTGCCCTGAGTTTGCCCAGGGTGGCAGGGGTGGGAAGTGCCAGCCAGCACAGAATGAGGGGAACCCAGGTAGCAATTAAGTGGGGATAAATAGCCATTACCAAGGAGGCATGACAACTGCAGGAGACCGCAGTCTATTCACAAGCAACTGCTTATTTTCCCATTGATCCTTGGCGGGATAGGGCCTTGCCTTCTGCAGCGCCCCAAATAACAGGCTCGCAAAGCCCAGTGCTAAGAGGTGGCATCTGAGAAGAATCCGCTCAGGTCTTCCTGTCTGTTTTATCTTAAGGCCTGCCAGGAGAAGAGATAATTACAGGTCTGATATTTTGTTCCATCATAGACAATGGAGGGATCAACACATGCCTCTCTGAAATCAGATTAAAAATTTTTTAAAAGGTTTCAGCTCAGGAAGATATCAGCATTTCCCACAGGTTTCAGTTGGATGAAAAGGGGGAGATTGAGAAGGAAGAAAGGAAGAAAGGGAGGGAGGAAGGAAGGAAGGAAATGAAACTTGATGAGTCTAGAAACAGAAATCATCAGCATGGAGGGTGCTAACAGACTTTACTTTTCTATCATGCCATCCCTCCCCCCGAATATCTTTCCCTTGGCTTGTCACACAATCTGAAAGGCACCCATTCAGGACTTATTCCATCTGAAGCCAAGAATCCCTATTGAAGCCTAAGCTCTCCAGGGAGGTTTGCATGGATGTTAGACCCTCTGCTGGACCTGCCTTTATCCTTCAAGGTCGCTATAAAGCATGGTTTGGGTTTCTTTAGGGAGGCAGTACAGCCTAGAGTTAAATGCACAGGGTTCAGAATTAAATTTCTACATTTGGCTAGAGTCCTGTATTCACTAGTGCTGACCTTGCACTATGTGACCTTAAGCTTCAACTCCCCACGTCCTTATCTGAAAAATAAAGAGAGCACTGCCTTATCTTGTATTATGTCTGATGATGAAATACGTGAAAAGACACTTAGTTCATAGCAAGGACCCGTAAATGTTACCGGATTTTTCCCCACCCTGATGAGGGGAGTAATCAGTCCAAGGATGAGCACCGAGAATCCAGAAGGGGTTGCAAACTCACATGGCTTCAGGGGTCCAGTGATGATGGAGACAAGTTAAGCAGGCAGGGTGTCACTTTTTCAACAACCACAACACTTTTTATAGTAGTGTCATGTAATTTGTTTCCATTGTAAATGACTCTCTATTGAAATTTGAGGCATTTACCATTCCCCCCAAATCTAAGTCATAAATGTTTATATTACTTTGGCTTGGTTTGGTTTGGTTTCTACAATAAGAATGTATACTTTTATAATAATTTTTAAAAACCAATGAAGATTTAGGCTAGGTTCCACAGCACGTATACTACAAATTAGAAAAATACAGAGAAAATGAGCATGACCTCTCCACCAGGATCACATGCCAATTCAAGGAGCATTCCATCAAAAGAAAGAAATAAAGATTTGAAGTAATGAGAGAGAGAGAGAAAGGGAAATTGTGATGAATAAAACCCAGTCTAAGCCAGAAAGGAAAAGTCCTTTATTTTTCTCTCTTTCTTCCTTCCTTCCTTTCTTCTCTCCTTCCTTCCTTCTTTCTATTCCCTTTTTGTTTTTTTTTTCTGAGACGGAGTTTTGGTTTTCTTGCCCAGGCTGGAGTGCAATGGTGCAATCTCAGCTCACCACAACCTCTGCCTCCCAGGTTCAAGGGATTCTCCTGCCTCAGCCTCCTGAGTAGCTGGGATTACAGGGATGCGCCATGCCTGGCTAATTTTTTTTTGTATTTTCAGTAGAGATGAGGTTTCTCTCCTAAAGCTCAAGTTGGTCAGGCTGGTCTCAAACTCCTGACCTCAGGTGATCTGCCCACCTCAGCCTCTCAAAGTGCTGTGATTACAGGCATGAGCCACTGCACCCAGCTTTCTTTTCTTTACTTTTTTTCTTTTTTTAATTTTCTTTTCTTTTGATACAGGGTATCACTGTGTCACCCAGGCTGTAGTGCAGTGAGTGGCACGATCTCTGCTCACTGCAGCCTCCACCTCCTGGGCTTAGGAGATCCTCCCACCTCAGCCTCCTGAGTAGCTGAGACTACAGATGAAAGCTACCATGTCCAGGTAATTTTTGTATTTTTTGTAGAGATGTAGTTTCACCGTGTTGCCCAGGCTGGTCTCAAACTCCTGGGACTCAGGCAATCCATCTGCCTAGGCCTCCCGAAGTCCTGGGATTGCAGGCATCAGCTACTGTGCCTGGCACGAAAAGTTCTTTCATATTATATGATTTTGTTTTCAGCTTTATTGAGGCATAATTGGAAAATAAATATTGTATATATTTTAGGTGTACAATGTGATGTTTTATATATGTATACATTGTGGAATGATCACCATAATCAAGCTAATTAGCATATCCATCACCACTCATATTTACTTTTTTTTTTGGTGGTAAGAACGCACCAAGTCTTTTGTGACAGTTTTAAGAGTGGAAGGAGTAGGCCGGGTGCTATGGCTCACGTCCTTAATCCCAGCACTGTGAGAGGTGGAGGCGGATGGATCACTTGGTATCTGGAGTCAACACCATCTTGGCCAACATAATGAGACTCCCTCTCTACAAAACAACAAAAACAAAAACCAAATTAGCTGGGCATGGTGGTACGTGTTTGTGGTCCCAGCCACTTGGGAAGCTGAGGTGGGAGGATCCCTTGAGCCCTGGAGGTTGAGGCTGCAGCTACTACAGTCCCTCCTGAGCCACAGAGTGAGACCCGTCTCAAAAAAAGAGAGCAAAGAGTGGAAGAAGTCAAGGGACCCGAGTCTGGCTGCAGTGGCTGTCTCTAGGACTGAGTGGGCTGTGAAGAGCTTCAACAGGGATGGCTCACACAGAAGCTGTGGCTCTGAGCCTGGCAAAGCTCTGATCTGTAGAACAAGGACTCAGAGAGGCCATGAGGTGGAGCCAGGTTAGATGTGGAATCAGAAAAGCCAGGTCCCAGTACCAGCCTCTGAACCTGACAAGCTCTAGGTTCTTGATAAATTCTTCAAACTTTTTTGAATCTCACTTTCTTTGTTCCCAGGATGAGGATACAAGCCAATACCTCGAGGGGTGGTTGGAAATATTAAAGGGGTTATATATGTAGAAATCATTTGTAGGTTGTTAAACTATACTGTGTAAGTGTAAATTACAAAAGAGTGTTGAATTTGTAATCTGAATGTCTAGTCCTCACTTCGTCACTTGCCAATCTGAGCATTGGTCATCTCCTATATAAAAGGGATTTAGAAACCTTTCTCCTACCTTAGCAGGTTGTTTGGGGGTGATGTCCAGTCTACTCAGTATACTTGGAAGTGTATTGGTTGTGGAGCAGGTAAAACATAACAAGAATAAATGACTTTTATTTGTATTATTTCCATCAGAATTTCTGTGCTATCTAACACAATGCCTTGCCCCGACAGCTATTTGGTGAATTAAAATGATTCTGATTAATTTCATCCTATCACTTTCTGGTAAGCAACTATGGTGGTTTCTTATTGGCTGCAGGACACACCCAAGCTCCTCTTCAATCTTCACACCTCTTTCTAATCTTGTCCCACCTATGTAAAGATAAATAAATAAAATGTGAAGGGCGGGCACCCTGTCTCTCGCCTGTAATCCCAGCACTTTGGGAGGCCGAGGCAGGTGGATCATCTGAGTTCAGGAGTTCCAGATCAGCCTGACCAACATGGTGAAATGCTGTCTCTACTAAAAATACAAAAGTAGCCAGGCATGGTGGTGGGCATCTATAGTCCCAGCTACTCGGGAGGCTGAGGCAGGAGAATTGCTTGAACCCAGGGGTGGAGTTTGTAGGGAGCCAAGACTATGCCATTGCACTCCAGCCTGAGCAACAGAGCAAGACTCCATCTCAAAAAGTAAACAAACAAACAAAACCTTGATTGAGGTATAATAACATACAGAAAATGAACCCATTTCGCTAGTCATTTGGCTATGTTTTGGTACTTAGAAAGCCATTTACCCACCACTCAGTCAAGATGTAGAACACTTTCTTCACCTCATAGAACTCCCTCTTGCCCCTTTGTGGTGACTGCTCATCCAGCTCATCACAAATCTTATTTTTGTCACCATAGATCAGTTTTGCTTGCTATAGAACTTCATATAAATGAAATACACAGTGTAATCTTTTTGTCTTGTTTCTTTCACTCAGCATGAAAATTGTGAGATTCACCTGTGTTATTAGAGATAGCAATAATTCATTGTTTTTTTCTTGCTGAGTAATATTCCACTATGTAGATGTACTTCAGTTTCTTTATCTAGTCCCCCATTGATGAACATTTGGTCGATTTCCAGTTCTCAGCTATTATGAATAAAGCTACTGTTTTAGTCTGTTTTTGCTGCTATGATATTAGAATGCTAGACTGGGTAACTTACAAAAAACAGAAATTTATTTCTCAGAGTTCTGGAGGCTGGAAAGTCCACGATCAAGGCGTCAGCATCTGGTGAGGGCTACTCTCTGCTTCCAAGATGGAGCCTTGAACATCGCATCTTCCAGAGGCGAGGAAAACTGTGTCCTCACATGGTGGAAAGTGGAAGGGAAAAAAAGGGTCCAATTTCTTCCATTAAGCCCTTTTATAATAGTGTTAATCCACTCATGAAAGCAGAGCCCTCCTGATCTGAACACCTCCCCAAAGGCCCTACCTCTCAACACTGTTGCATTAGGGATTAAGTTTCCAAAACACGGCCAGTCATGGTGGCTCACACCTGTAATCCTAGTATTTTAGGGGGCCTAGGCAGGAGGATGTCTTGAGCCCAGGAGTTCAAGACCAGCCCGGGCAATACAGTCAGTATTCATCTTTACAAAAAATAAACAACTAGCCAGGCATACTGGTGTGCACTTGTAGTCTCAGCTA